CCTAAAAGCAATGTATGATTTATGCATCATCCATGGACAAAATTGAATTCAAAATCTCTAAAGTAATGTCAAAGATAATCATTAAATTAATAAAGTCAATGCTTAACTAGAGACTTTCATGCCACAAGCCATGTGACCATATTCAATTAAAACATAAAATAATAAACTTAGTAGCTTAACAAAGTCATCATCTTTTAACTCAGTAGCTTAACAAAGTCATCATTTAACCATAACACATCCAACCACCTTATTTTGTCTCCACCAACTGCAATAAATAGGCCCATCAACTCTTGCAGCTGGTTTAATTTACAGCTACCCAATAGCCAATGCCCCTTTCTTCGTGTTATGATTAATGAGAAAAGCAGACCAACCACACATCTACGATGCCATCCTTCTATAATCAATAACAACAAGCGCTAAACACTCCATCTTTCCCTTCCACATATCTAAAAAGTGCATATTCTCCATGTTCTCCTATCAAAAATTGAAGAATGTTGAAGAAAGGGAAGAAGCAGATGAAGAGCTTGTTATTGCAAGAAAAAAGATCATTAGCTACTGCGTTCAAAGAAAGAGATGGGGGAGGGGCAGGTGGAGTTGGAGGCGACCGAGAGTCCGAGTGGCCGGGCTGCTACGAAGAGCCGTGAGGGGGAAGGCGGCGGCCGTCCGAGCAGCTATGGGAACATCATTGAAGAAGGTGATGATAAGGTTGAAGGAAGGGAGGCCATATGTTAGCGAACTATTTGCCGGCAACTACTTGTTCATGCAGGTGAACCCATCTGTTGCCATGCCATATTTGGACAAGTCTCTTGTACCAGCTACAAGGTTGCATCAAGCATATGCAATTACCCCAAGGATTGCTTATTAAACTAATTTCTCATCTATGCTGTGGCTTCTTTTCATATTTATCCATTGTATTGTCTTTATCATCTCAAGTTCTTCATATTTAATTAATGATTGGTGGTGTTTGTTGTTTGGAATGATATTGCTGCATATTTTAATGGATCATGACTATTTTGATGGAATCCCTAGGCTGTGCTCGGTTGTTTGTATATATGAAATTTTTTGCTTAATGTTGAGAATTTTAGGGCAAAGAAAAGCAAGAA